CTGCCTGGCGGAAAAGGATCTGGGGGTGTTGGTTGACAGCCGCCTGAACATGAGCCAGCAGTGTGCTCAGGTGGCCAAGAAGGTCAATGGCATCCTGGCTTGTCTCAGGAATAGTGTGGCCAGCAGGACCAGGGAGGTGATAGTGCCCCTGTACTCGGCACTGGTGAGGCCGCACCTCGAGTCCTGTGTTTAGTTTAGGGCCCCTCACTACAAGAAGGACATCGAGGTCCTTGAGTGTGTCCAAAGAAGGGCAATGAAGCTGGTGAAGGGTCTAGAGAACAAGTCTTATGAGGAGCGGCTGAGGGAACTGGGGTTGTTTAGCCTGGAGAAGAGGAGGCTGAGGGGAGACCTTATTGCTCTCTACAACTACCTGAAAGGAGGCTGTAGCCAGGTGGGTGTCAGTCTCTTCTGCCAAGTAACAAGCGATAGGATGAGAGGAAACAGCCTCAAGCTGCACCAGGGGAAGTTTAGGTTGGATATTAGGAAAAACTTCCTTCACCGAAAGGGTAGTCAGGCATTGGAACAGGCTGCCCAGGGAAGTGGTTGAGTCCCCATCCCTGGAGGTATTTAAAAGACGGATAGATGTGGTGCTTAGGGCCATGGTTTAGTGGTGGACTTGGCAGTGCTAGGTTAATGGTTGGACTTGATGATCTTAAGGGTCTTTTCCAACCTTAATGATTCTATGATTCTATGATATCTGTACTGAGTAGTACAGAGAAGTAAGAAGAATCTGAATGCCAAATTCCAACGTTATCTGAGCTCCATCACAAAAAAACTGTGATCATCTGGGTACCAGTGATTTGCCAACTGCTTTAAATTCTGCAGGGCACCTGTTACGCCACTGTGGCTCTTACAAGGTGTGACAAACATCTGATGTGACAAAAGACATTATGTGCAATGGTTAATATAATTTTTATGCCTCCATGTTTGCTTTAGAAATAATGGACAATCAGATTAATGCGGTGTGTAAAAACACATCATATAAACACATTTCCTGTCTTTTATTGCTCTATATCAGCCCCATTACCACACATAAGAATGTTCCTTATTGATGAATAATGGTTGATACATGGGATATCACATTTCCTCTTTTTCTCAGGACCAGCAATATACTTAAAGCCAAATTTGTCCTTGGTGATACCATTCAGACTTGTTTATTCATGGTGATGGTCAAAATAGAAGTATTTTTTATTTTTGGAGCTGTACAGTACTCAGGGCTCAAATTCTGCCTAAAAGGGACAGATTACTAAACTCTTAATCATAAACTTGACTTTAAACATTATTCTGGTGGGATTAAAACATGTATTTAAAAGTAGGTATATATTTAATTATCTTATTGAATAGCAATGGGCTTAATCTTTTAGTTAATATTTTCCTGAATTAGGATCAAATTTCCTGGGCCCTTTAGTAGTGAAAAACATCAGAGCCTACAGGTTTAAGGCAAATTTGATTGTATCTGTAATATCCTTGGGAATGCTCCAAGTTAATTTTCAGATCTACATCATTATTATTTCACACATTTTAAAGATACTTATTCATATTGGGAAACAAACCAAAATAAGACTTGATTGACTAAATAGTTTTGTTTTGGTGTGAATTTTTGTGTGGTTACTATATTAATATACCTTTATCAGATCATCATCTGAGTTACTGTCTTCTTTAGAAGACAGAATTTGACATGTCTTTGATCCCTTTTTTCTTGTCTGGTTCTTTCTTGATATATTTACTCTAGTGAATGAGCATCTTGTTCTTGCTTCTTCAGGTTAAATTTTCATTAAAGTTCTTTTGCCCTTTTTCTGTCTGCAGTATACTGTGAACGTATTTCAGACTTAATAATGTTCATACCAGAACGCTGTCATAAAGAGAGACAATAGAGTTGCCTGGTGCCAAGTCTGCTATTTTGATGGTTTGGGTACCTTGATAATCCCTCCTATGTCATATGGCTCTGCTAAAGTACCTGGATTAATGCTCTGCCGATTTAAATAGATGCCTTGGAGTGTTCCGTTCCAGGGCATAATTTCCTTTATTAGTTCATCACAACTTCATACTGGTGACCTTCAAAGTCATAGTGCAAATTTATCTTCTTTCAGCTTCTTCTTTAGAAAAAGCAATGACCCTGGGAAGTGGAAGCCACTGGAAAATGTTGCAAAGGGTAATAAAAGAGTCCTAATTTTCACAAAATTTTAAGTTTTGGTTATTGCTTCCCTTTACTGTTGCGTGTAAGACCAGAATTATGAATATTCTGAACTGACATTTAAAATTATGCTTATGCATATACAGTGTAGATAAAGAGGGTAAAATGATAATTTCTACAGGTCTCTTGAATTTCTGTGGCTATAAAAAAATTATTATTGTCAGAAGGGTTTAACAAGAAAACATCTCTGCTTGTCTGCAGAGGTACAAAGAAAACATGAAATCTTCCAGAGAGAATACTTTGGAAGTACCTCTCATTTACAGACCTTCTGTGCCACCACAGCAGAGGTCTAAAAAAAGAGAGTGAGCTCCACTTATGCTGCAAGAAGTTATAAATATGTCCCTCTGCACCAAGTGACAACCTGGACAGGACAAATGATCACGACACAAGTGTTCAGACTCTACTGAAGTGCAAGCCTTTGCTTGGGTCGTGTGTCCTCAGTAAAAGTCCTAGATGACCACTAGGATATTAAAAATAGCCTGAACCAAAACCTTACCTGAACAATAAACATGGCTATGTGGTGAAATTCGCCCCGGCCTCCCTGCTTCACTGGGACAGTCATGAAGAACTTACTGCCATCCTTGGAGAAAACTGGTTCTTCATTCTATAAATTTAAGATTGTGTTAGCTTGTCACACTTTCCATTAAACTTCTTAAGAAAACATCAGCTTAGGTTTTTTGTCTCCTTGGTTTTGGTCGTTGCTGTACTCGTAAGACTGGAGAAAAATCCTCAGATTTTAAATATATTCTGCTAAGATTAACAAAAATGTGGTGGCTAAAGGTAAATGTAGTTCATGCTAATAGTTACTATTGTGCAATCTTGTCCTAAAGCATGGGTTATAGCCCTTGCAAAACTCTTCCTCCCAATGAAAAGTTTGGTAGTCTGATCCCTAACGCAGCAGAACTTTCCAGGATACATTCCTTTACAGACATATAATTAATGACAGAGATAAGTCCTACTAGTGATGAGGAGAACAAATGTTTCCATGATCTGGACTCAGCAAAACATTACCAAGTACACGCTTAGCACTCACTGAGTTTGATAAAGTCGTATGGAAAAAATAAGCACATTGAAGTGATATTCTGAACCATGGTCTTACCATAAATTGTAGCCTGATGTGATACCATCTCTCCATGTCTAACTTTACACAGAAATATTAAAGGAAAATGGCTTGCTATAAAAGCGTAGATTTTTTAAAATGATTTCTCATTTGCACATTGCAAAATGAAGCCTGAAATGTATTTTAAATAGAATGTGTTTCATCCATTTATTGGATAGCTTTTCTGAAACTATGAAAATGGAATCATTTGCTGACATATTAGTTCAACATATTGTTCTGGGTATGAATTTAGAAATATTCTTATGCATTCCAATTATAGCCGGTATGACCTCTAATCTTTGAACTCCTTTGTGTTTAATTTGGTGAGGTTATTTTTTAATCAGAAAAAAATCTGCACAGTATATAGGTCACGCTTGGAATGGGACTCGTCTGATCTGTCTTTAACCATCCAAGAGTTAGGTAGTTAATCAGGTGGTCATCTAAGTGCTTACTTAACTGAATGCAGGGATTGGAAACTGAAGGGGACATTGCCTCTGAAACCCAGACACGTGTCTCAGTTCAAAGGGCTGAACTGGTCACTGGAAGTGTGTATTTCTTTCCCCCACTGACATGGTCAGCTAGATAGCGAAATGTCCTTTGTGTGATGCTAAGTGACAGGATTCCCACTAGCAGAGAAACAAGCTGCCATCTGAATGTTTACACAGATACTGCTATAATCCTCGGCTGTTAAATTAATTTAGGAACCTAAAAAGTATTCAATTTTAAAACAAATGGATTTTAATCGCTTATAAAATAACATATAATTAAATAAAAATGTCAATGAAGCAATTACACATTATACACCCAGAAACAGCATTTATACTATACCTGTTTAGGAAGCCACAGGTCTGACTGCATTTCATATTTCTAAAAAAGAAGAAAAATTGTTTTCATGGAATACCTATAGATCAAAACTATTTCCCACATTCAGCAAAAGGTCTCTAGCTATTTCGTGGTTTTTTTGCTGCTGTGTTCTAGTCTTCACATCTCTTCATTGGCACTTACAGTGAAACAAATGATAATTTAATTACAAAGTCAGCTGCTTTATTCAGAGTTTTTGGTAGAACACCACAGGGGACCTAAGAATGCCTTTTTCAGACCTTTCTGAATAGCTATCAAGAAGCTTTATGCAGGCAGTTCTATTTGTTTTTTACCTCTAGGCATCATCTGACAACTGGATATTTTAGGTCCTTCATCAACACTGGGCAAACAGCCAGCATCAAGCTCAAAGTGTGAGACCTTTTCAAATCACAATCCCTTGCTTTAATGGGTTGTAGTCTGGCATTAGTGAAGAGAAAAAAAAATGCAAACAATTGGTTTTTATTGGTCACACTTATATTTCACATCATGCCATCTAAAAAAAAAACCAAATACCATGCACATGTTGTTGGAAAAAAATATAGAATATACGTCAACTGTTGTAAATTGTCACAGTCGCACTGAAGTCATGAAAATTTATTAGCTATAGAAGCATCTTACATATATCTGGCCTGAAAAATGAAAAATCTGTAGCTACTGTAGCAGCTGGCTTTATACAGTACTTTTTGGAATTGAGAACATGTGCAAAATGCTAAAAAAAATTTTAAAAAATGATAGGTTTACAGTTGAAAGCAAATGGTCTGATACAATGTTAAACTCTCACAATATGGCCTTTCCTCGTCCATTACTGAATTTAAGAGCATCACCTCATCCCAGCGGAGGAACTGTCCAGCGTTACAAGCCTGAGCCCTGTCTGAGCTGGGCTCGCTACGGTGACACTGCATCGCTATCCTTCCTCACCCACCTGCAAGGTCCTTTGCTGAACTTTATTTCTTCTGGAGTGGGACTTCTCAATCTCTCTCTCTTTTATATTACGTCCTGGGTTACAGCTCCCTGGACACCTACTTCAGACAAGTCCAATTGACCTTGGAGCACACAAGGGTTTCCTTTCAGAAGCGACTGCTCACAGTGGTTCCTGACCGACTTTCTTAATAAAAGGGCACAAGGCTTGCAGGAACCATGTAAAAAGCAACCCAATGAACAAATCTCCATGTTCACAATTTTAATTCATAGTCTGGGGATTTATTCGCAGTTTCTGAGTCAGGAAAAGCAACCTGCACTATGTAGCAAAAGAAGCAGACAAGCTCAGAAATCATCTCTAACACTTTCACATGACTGACTTCAGTAGCAGACACTGATGGGATCCTTTTGACTCAGGGGACAAACTTAGACTTATGTTAATCACTCATAACCATTTACACTGCCAAATTACACCCTCTACTTTGGAGCATCTGTTGGTACTGATATTAGCACATATAGAAAATATTTATACTTCTAGCTGGTTCTGGGAAGAGATTGTGACTCAGAATGGGAAACTGGCCAACTACATTCCAGATGAAAGACTGACTGTGAAAATGGAGAGATGTAATGCAGCAGTGTCAGAAGTCAACGTCTGGGTCAAGGGGTGGGATGTGGCTGGATTCAAATAGAAAAATGTATTTCAGCTTGACTTACGTTCAAAATGGAATATTCCCATTGCTTTTCAATTTTCTTTTTTTCTAAAGTTATTTAATTCTGCTATCAAATTTGCAGGAATTATCAGAATTTTACATGTTTTTTCTTAAACATATGTAAGCTGAGAGAGATAGAAAGATCTGAAATAAAACTCTGTAGGGGGAGAGAGGAGAAACCAGGCAGCTGAAAATATCCGACGGAAGATAAGCTTGTCACTGTGCTAGCTATACCCAAAGTACAAGATGTTCAGCAACTGCAGTTTCCACTGAAGTTAATGAATGAACAAAGCTTAGTAATTCTGAAAATGTCACTCAAAGTTGCTAATTGCATGAAATCATTTCACCAGATTTGGAATTTTCTCACATCTATTTCCTCCCTGTTGACTAATTATATTCAGCTTGCAACCACTGCATCTGCAAACTGATTTCCAAAAATCTTTTTCTGAATATGAAAACAAAATGCAGGAAGAAACCTTGAAAAGGGAGCTTAGGAAAAAATCTGACTTACCCTGCTGCAAGCCCCAGTTGTGGTTTCACAAACCGTAAGGATGGAGATATTCTGAGGTCTGTTTAACCATCTCACCACAGCTTTGGTGTTGCTTACCCATTTCACCATGGTGATGTAATATTCCCTAAGTAAACATTTGAAAATACCGTGTTCAGATCATTCCTGTTTCAGATTAGACATTTTTTGTTTAAAAATTATACAGTTCATCAAATGCTGGATTTGTACTGCATGACAGCGTCAGTACTGAGGATGGAGAAAATAACCCCAAATGCTGTGTTCCTACAGGTGAGAAGGCTCAGTCCTAGTGTGCTGTTCTGGGAAATTTGTACTCCATTAGTACCTCCTTCTCAGCCATTTGTAATATATAAACTTTACCAAATGCGAAGCATATACTTGTGAAACATCTGTTTGCAAATATACATGAATCATGTACTGGCCGGACAGCTTAAAAATGAACACTAAATTCCAACAGAAGCCAGTATTTTCCCATACCAAATACCTTCAGAAGACACACATTTTTTCAAAAAAATCCAGCCCTACTGCCAAACTACAAAAAAAAAAGATCTGTAATGTTAGAGGGCAGGCAAGAGCACTTTAAAATGTCACTTGTTATAAAATAACAAGTATTTCATAATGGGACTTCTGCATAAAGGGAAGTCACACCCAGTATCAGTGCGTGTCAGCTTTCATTTTAACAAATAGCTCATAATATCAGAAAAATTGTCTGTCCCTCAACAACGTGGCTGAGCAAGGGAGGTTTCCTAGCACAGACTAATGGTACGGAGTATCTGCCTCCCTCCTCCCAAACTCCTGTTAGGCTGTCAGATGGGATGTTACAGAGGAAGACCTGTTGCAGCTTGTCATCCCAGCCAGGCTATTTGCTTCACTTCTCTTCTCGTGGCAGCTGGCAGCTTTCACAGTCCAGCAGAGTTATGTGCAACAGTGGAGCGGACGTGTCTGGAAACTCAGCCCCCCTTTAAAACAAGGGTCTTGGCTTGCATATGATTAGGCTTTTAATCTAATACTGATGGAGATCTCATTACTCTTTGACAACACATATTTAATTATGCATTCAAAAGACTTCTTACTAGATCAAAGAGGCTAAGCAGTGCCAACAGCAAAGGTGTGTACAACTCTGGTGCTGCGCACAGGAGACGCAGCAGACAACAATTCGCTGCAGCTTCACCCAGCCTTGGTCTGGTGCTGTACTTGAAGAACATAGCTGAACAATGCAATATGCCCAACTTCCTTTTAGCTTTTATGTTTGACTTTTAGTAAGATAGATATTTTCACATGTGGATACCAGAATGATGACTAGAAATGGTGACTTCAGGTATATTCTGAGTCTAATACTTACATTTTCGTTTAAAAAGTTTTTTGACTTACTGAGGAGCAAATACATATGCCAAAAATAACACAAGATCTAACGCAAGACCAGGTGACACAGCCAACAAAGCAATGATCCAACAAAGCAACCAAAGAGCGCAACACCAAATCTCAGGTAACTGGTTCCCCATAGCAGAACTCAAGAAATAAGAGCTGAAAACTTCTCTCTCTGCAGTTGTGCCTTCATAAGGCCATCCAAAACCACTGCAACTGTGCATACGGAAGCCCGAAGACAGCCAAAAGGAAATGTTCAAAACATATATATAAGGACTGTCTCCCTCTACCGGTACTTAGACACCAAGGTAAGACAGCATCCACTGACAACAAAGCCCAAATTATCCCAGAACCAAATTCTACAAAACAGGGCCTGAGCTGTTCCATTTGAAAAAGTCTTCAGTGAGGGATGGAAACAGGAGATTTAATCATTCAGAATCCAGCTGACATAGTAATTAATAGTCCAAATCAAACCATAACATCATCTTCCATCACTGACATAAACTCCTTGATCACTGATCAAGCAGATCATTTAAAAATTCCTTTTTTTCCCTGCTTTCATCAGCTATGCATAAAAACATGTTCAAATTTCACTACATTATGATTTGTTTATCGGGAGTGTAGTATACTGTATGTACATATGTAGAAACACATACCCTTATGAAATTAAATACTGTCTCCAGGTAATGTTCCTTTGTAATTCACAGTTTTGCAGTTAATCTACTGTTTCATATATACAGTGCACATACACACACACACAGAGTAGTGTTGTCACAGGTCGACAGATATAACCAAGTCAAAGTTTGTAGAAGAAAATCTTATGTTTTATTAGATTGGCTGATACAGTTGAATAAAAAAAAGAGAAGCCTGCAGGGCAAAAACTGGTTTAGTTCTGGGGAAGCTGCTATCAGTTTGTGTCTCCAAACTTATCAGGCTTTTTTTGCAACTAATCTATTGTTCTAGTAATGAAAATAAGCACTCTTGCTTTCCCTCCAGACCCAAATACACAAATTTACTACGATTACTAGACCCTCTGCATCTGTACATACATTAAATTTCCTCACAACATCACTTTAAAGAGGAAAGATTATGATTGCTTTCTGGACAAAGGACTGAAGTCAAGATATTAAATAAAAATTTACACTCAATATGATACTCATTTAATTAGGTGCTCTACAGCACTTTGCATGTTCAGAGAACTCTCATCCTTGTTTGGGAACATTTCTTAAATCAGACTGTGGATTAATTTACTGCATGTCTGAAGAGTAACAAACACAATTACTGATCACCTGTGGAATGTTAGTTTAACCTCATTGTATCACACAGGGGCTGTGTGGCAGAGACAGAATCCAGTTTTAGCATTCAATTGGCCTAATAAGAGCAGACTTTTCTCTCTTGCTGTGGCTTGTTTTATTCAAGCTGTGTCTCCTCACCCCACTCCTAACTTTCTTTTTCCTACACTTTGTGTAGCCGGTTCCAGGGTTTTCCTTATTGACCCCTTTTCTCACAGCAGGGCCACTATAAGATGATCATGGGAACCATAAAACCCGTTTGTTGATATCCATCTCCTCTGTCCTCACCATCTCACCAACTCTCAGGGTTTCCAGTGAAATCCCTGATTGTCAAGAAAACCTCATTCAATCCCTGCCTCATAGACCTGCCTTTTTGCTTTTTAGCCAGTCCCCATTTCATGGTCTAATCAAGTTTTCATCTCAGGCTTTTTAGAGTCTCTTCCCTCTCATCTGCCCTAGGATTTTTTCCTTTCGAATTCCAGAGATAGCTTTCCTCTTTATTCTGTATAAAAGCAGACAGAAAACACTGAAAACACAGAAAAGGCAGTTTCCTTCTACAACATCTCATGATCAGTCAATATTGAAGGAGTCAATATTGAAATATGACTCACTTTATTCTAAGTTGGATTGAACCAGGCAATGCATAAAAACAAGAGCTTCAAGCTCCTTGACCAGTCAGAGACCTACTTCTGATTCCACATTCAGTATTTAAATCTGTTGCTTTGTTGCTTGTTCAAATTGGCCTAAGGCAATTATATACGGTAATCAGTATAAAGAAGGTACAGCTTTCCCTTAGGCCTGTGAACCAGGAACATGCCATGTACACAGTCAGCTCAACAGCAGGAGCTGGAACATCTCACGTGTGCCGAGGAGGTGCTGCACACCAAGAAAAGTCAGGTCTTGGGGACAGACGGGGGTGGACGATACTCAGTGAGAAAAAAATTTCCAACTGTAGGTGTTAAGAAAGCAAATGTCTTTCCTGAGCATATGGTGATTAACTTTTTTCCAAAGACTTGTAACTTGATGAAATCTTGATGCATTTTTCACTGCTGATAAAAACCATGTTAAATATCAAAGGTGTTTATCATCCTTTGCCAAGCCTGAAGACCCAATTTTTTTTAATCTTTCTTTCTTATAGAATGTTTTCCTTTATTTTGATTATCTCAGTTGATATGCAGTTCTATGGAAGTAGTTTAACAGCTTGCTAATACATTTATCATCACTCAAGAATGTCTAGCACGTCTTGTTTCACTTGTAAGTTTTGGGATGCTTGTAACTAGAAAGATATATATGTGTATCGTGCTGGCTGTTATTGTAAGTGCTTAGCAAAGTCAACAGAGACAATAAGCTGAACAAAGGAAAGGGATTTGCACTGCATTACACTGGAAGCATAGTCACAATGATAATTAAATTTGAACATTAGATACTTAGATTTGAAATAGACAGACTAACCTCACAGGAAAAAAAAAACCAAACAACACAGTTTTAAACTTTGAAATAAGAAACTCTTCAAGAAAAAGAGTCAAACTTTTCAACTTCATACCTTTCACGATAATGAAGAAATCTGCTCTAACTTTAACCCAGTGAGCTGATTATGAAAGAAATCTGCTTATAAGAATAGCTGGAAGACATTTAATATTTATGGCAATGGAAAAAGGAACCTTAGTTTTGATGTTGGTATTAATAATTTGGGTTTGGATAATAAATACAACAGGGTTCAGCTAAAGAGAGCCAACCTAGTACATTCACTAGTTTGCTGGCAGGTTGTTATCTAAGAAGGTAAACAACAGAAACTTGCCCCACGCGCAATGCTCTAGAGTATTTACTATATTCTTAAATTATTTATATTGTTAAGTATTGAAAAGCATACAAGGATTTACAGATACTAATAGAAAATGTCATTCTCAGAAACACACATGGAAAACAACACAAACTGAGACCTGACCTGCAAGACAGCTAAGATAACTACAGTTTGTCCGTATTTTGGTTGAATATACTTGACTAAGTACTACGCATACATTGATGTTTTCTGTACTCCAGTTTTCTTCTGAGACTAAGTCACAGGTAGTCATTTGGAAGGAGCTTTTCTAGCTTGCCTTCCCATGGGTGCTGGCAGCCACCATCTGAGCCAGGTTAACAAGCTCTGCTCCCCATTTCCTTGCAGCCATGGGCCCTGGCCACGACCATCTTGGTAGCCCGCTGATGGACTCTCATCATCCCTCTTGAATCCCCAAATTGGTTACAGGCGATGGACAGAGCAACATCCCTCAGGCTGCTGGCCACACTTCTCCTAGACCAGGGTCCAGCCTTGGTGACAAGCAGCGTGTGCTGTTGTCTCCCATTCGGCCCCAAGCACAAATCCCTCGGCAGGACGGCTGGGCAGGCAGCCGGGTCCCAGCCCCTGCTGACCCAGGGGCTTGTCCTGGCCCATGTGCAGAACTTGCATTTCTTCCCACTGAACAGGAAAGGGAATAATCAATAAATACCTTGGCATTGTGTGGGAAGGTTTCAATAAGATAAAGCATGTGAATATATTTTTATCCTGTAGGCTTTGGCTGAATACATTACAGACATTTGCTGTAAGGTATGATAGTGAATTAATCCTTTACATTAACCTTGTGAGACAGGTATTGTTATTGCCAAGTTACAGAAGAGGGGAGGGGCAGAAGTGTGAAAGAAGTGACTAGACATAAAATATCTAAGAAAAGCTGAAAGTAAACCCCAGGTTTTTTAATATCAAATTGCACACCCCTCCATCTTTCCCATTCCCAGTTAGAATCAAATAAGCTTTCTATTCCAAAGCAAGGCTCAGATAAACTGGTTGCCAGAAGTATAAAACAAACCTTTCTAGATTCAAAAGGTGATTTCAAACTGGAAGTACATAAATATCCAAATGATTTTGTTGATTTGGAAATGCATGGATAATAAAAACATTGGTGAGGCTTATAAGAGCATTATTTGAATTCATGCAAACTCAATTTCTTAAGTGTTTCCAGTTCTATTAAAAAAGATTAATTAAAACCAATAAAAATTATTTAAATTTATTGTACAAAGTCAGAAGGGTCTGACTGTATATTTCAGTCTCTTTAAAAGCAGGTATATATGAAATGAGAATGGGGACATCTAGCATTTTTTCAGGCATTTAAATACTTACTTGGAAAAAGTAAGAAAAAGGACTGACTTAATTTCTTGCAGTGCATTTTAAAACTACCTGGTCAGCAGTGGCCGGGAATAGTGCAGAGCCAATGCAGCTTGCTCACTGTGGCTGAGAATGGGGAAAGCAAACAGTGGATGACTCCCATGCTGAGACTTTCGAGAGCCAATACACAGTTCTAGCAGAAAAATCTTTTCATCATGTATGGAAGCACAGCTGTACTCTAATAATTCAACTGCAACTTCTTTCATGTGTTATTTCATGTCTTCTCTGTCTTAGCAATTTTCACTTCGGAAAAGAAATGAAATTTTTCTGCCTGACAGGTCTAAATTCAAGCATGGGGTTTGAAAAATCAGCCTACATTATTTCTATACCTTATACCTAAATATCACCAGTTACAAGGATTCTTCAGGTGTCCTAAGGTACAGTGGTTTGAACTGACTGCTTGCACACCACATCGCTTTTTCAAGATTTGCAGCAGGAGGTATAAGCTTTCCAACTGGAACTTCAGGAGCTAGCAGTGTACGAATGCACACATATTTCATCTTACATGTATATTGGCTTTCTAGGACTAGTGAGAAAAAAAAAAACTGCAGTGCAAAATCATGTTTGCAACTGAAGAAAACATAATGTAATTGTATACACAGAATGGAAACCCCAAGGGCGAAACAGTAATTGCAGAGAATACAACTACATGTTTAAAGGAAGACTGGCTGTCTTTTTGTGGCATTAACAGTGCACAGTAAATGGTAAATTTTTCCACAGAATAAAACTTTCAGAAGTAAATTTACAAATGTTATTGGTATCTTTATAACAGGATAACCTGGACAAAACTTGGGAAATATTACCAAGGACCTTTGTAGAATCACTGCAAGAAGTAAATGAAGGCAGAACATTGAATTTACTCAATATTACATCAAGTTCCCAGATGCCCTAAAAATGAGAGAAACAGTTTTCTGTCTTCAGACTGCACTGCATGCAATTTGGGGAGAGTTGAGAATCTGAATGTTACTTTTTGTGGTTATAAATAACAGAAGCCCTCTTTCCTACCCACTTGTGTGGCTTCTCTGCATAGGAGTGAATCTCTCCCATAGTAGCAGTTGGTTATGACTTATACAATATGTATTTCCAAAATGTTTCTGCCCTGAAAGATCCATAAAACTATATATGATAGTGTCCCATTCCATCTAATTCTGAAAGACTCCCACGACCTATTTGCTGACTCCATAATGAATGGATTAGAAAGGTACTGAAAAAATTGACTGCTAAAAGTAGCTACTACTTTCATTACAAAAGCTAATACTTTAAAAAAAAACCCTCCCACCCACTACAAACTCCAAATATTTCCACTCTAGAAAGGCCTGTTCAAAGCTCATTCTTCATACTGGTATATATATTGATATACGGATATATATGGATTGATGACCAGTGTGATGACTGACTGCTATTCAAATCCAGAGTCAGAATATAAGATTCACAGTATACTTGGTTGACAACTATATAATTTTTCTAAATTTTATAGCACAGACATTATACCTGAATTGCTAAAATTAAGAGGAAACTAACTGTTTTCCAGGTTTAAATAGTTTTACTCTGTCTTCTGATACAGCAGCAAAACAGAATTTTAAACATGAATATTATTTCAATTAAACAGCAACAATATCTTTATCAAGCACTCAACAACCTCGCAAAGATGCCCCTTAAGGCTTACAAAAGAAATTCCACAAATTGAGCTATTGCTAGCCTTCAGCTTCAAGATGCAAAAAACGTTTTACAATAGCAATATTCATTCATTTGATTCTACTTTTATTTTCAATCTGCTGGGGAGGAAGAATGAATCTGAAAAATCTAGAATGAAACCATAACATCTGAACAACATTTTCAAGATTTTTTTTTTCTTGGGGATTTACACATTGCTTTCTCATTTCACTTCTTCATGCCTTGTGACATTTAAAGGACAATTTTAATGCTGTTTAAGAGAGTTAAGATGCTAATCTTGATGGCAAGGAATCTCTTTCACATCTTACACTATCACTTAAATTAATGAAGGGTTAGCAAGCAGCAGGAGATTTTATTATGTTTTTCAGTAGTAGCCCATCAACAGAAAGAAAATACTTCAAAAAGCACAAAATCATTCCTTTCACTCACACAATCAGTAAGCATTCCAGCTGACATAAATAACTGCAAGGCATAATTCACTATTAAATTATTCCTGCACTAAATTAGGGTACCTCAATTTGCGTAGAAGAGAGCTATGCCAGCTTAAAATTGGTTGCATTGATTGCGAATCAGTGCCCATGCTAACATCCTGATTGTTTTGGGAACAATTACCAAAAAATCTTTCGGGTTTTGTAGGAACTGCAAAAACAGCAACTATATTCAGAGGGTTTTTTTAGGTAGAGGTAGCTTCATGGTTGCTAATCCTTTCCATGTCTTTCCCCATCTGAAAATGCCCTGAGTGAAGAGAGGAAGTTGCACTTCCCTGGCCCTTAGACTGCAGTCAGATCTGGACTGTGGTAACTCTTTTATTGTTATTATTACCTATATTATATAATAATTTAGGGTTAGAAGATCATTAACATGTGCACTGAAACCACAATTGGAACTTAATCAATGTAACTGCAATTCTACAAACTGGTAATGCATATGGGAAGGGACAAAAATTTTTATGCCCTTAAACAAAAGTTTCAAGGCACCTCAAAGTGAGGACAGGTAATCGGGAGCTCAGCTTAAGGTAGTAACTTTAGCAGGAGATTCACCGGTTGCAGCCAGACCTCATTTCTTCAGCCCCAAAGTCAAAGGGACTGTTAAATTAGCTCAGTGGTTCTGAAGCAGTTTCTCCCAGAAAACACAGCACAGCCCTTCTTAGTCTATGTGATCTGGTGGCATCGCATCTCACCTTCTGTCACCTCACTGCATCTGTCAGCCGTGATGAGAAACGAAACTTTCCATAACCTACTGGATTTGAAAAGTTCAGAATATTTCTCGCTAAATGAGGAACACTGATTATGTGTTCTGTGCATTTGTAATACACTTCTATATTCTGCAATCTCATTTCAGAAACTGAAAGCAACAAGTTGGCACACAGCAAGGAAAGGCTGGGAGTGAATGCAGTAACAACCTCAGAAGCAGAGCAGTGTTCAGCCCCTTTGACCATAGCTTCGGATTCTTAATTTCATATATTTCAAGCAAATTGGAGCTTCTCAGGACCTCAGACATGAGCACATACCAGATCTCTGTGGTTTTTAAGAGGAGCATCAATCCAATACAGCTATGTTTTATTTTATCATCATTATGTTCAGCCATGGGGACAGAGATCAAAGATAAGTGTTGTGCTGATGGAAAAAGGCAATGATTAGCCTGAGAGACAGTCAGGTTAAATTCAACATGAGTTTCAAAACAATGAAATTATATACCTTGATTTAAAGCTGTCAGGTGGCATCAGTTCCAGTGTATGTGCTGGTCCATACAGATTAACTACAAACAGCTTTATTGTTGGGTTTGTTTGACCTGCCTTTGAAAAAAAGAAAATAGGAGATTTAAAGGCACTGAATCAGTGAGAGCTAAATAGAATCACTTATTAACATAATTCAGTATCTCTATAACAGTGAGAAATCACTGCAATTACAAAATCTTAAATTTTAAAAAATAATTTCACAGCCATATGAATTACACAGATAAAAATATGAAGTATTAATTGAGTAATTCTCTCACTGCCTTTACCGATGGCAGACCTTCCTGTGCAGAGCAAGGGACCAACGCTAGAAGTGGTTTGGCCCAGTTCAGTAAAGTCCGCTGCAAAAGCACAGCCAGTTCCTAAATCAGCAGTTAAACCCAGACTCCATCAACGTCTTTTCCAGACCCTATTGTTCCTTCTTCCAAAAAGCTGTCCTATATCTGGGAAAACATTCCTCCTTTTCCTCTTTCTTTACCATTTTCCCCCAGTCTTCCTTCCCTGGCTTGCTGAGATGGAAACCTCTTATTTCTGGCCCTGTTCAGGATTCAGATGCTTTGGCAGGCCAGCTCTAAGAGAAACAAAATCCTTCTTGTTGCTAAAGGGAAATAAAATGGCAGTTTGATATATATCCACTGGGAAGAGTGTGATAAGTCCTGAGGACCTACAGGGAGGTGGGACTCCTCCTCCTCCAGGTAACACGGCTCGTTACTAAGGGAGGTTCCTGAGATGAAGAGAAAGGACTGGCAATAAAAGGCTCCGGAGGGCTGGCAAGGAGCTGCTACTAGTCTCATCTCCCTGTCCTAGCTATGCTATATTCAAGCTTCTTTTTCATGTAAATCACTGGAGTCGCACAACACTATATAGCGTCCTTGAAAAATGTGTCTCTCAATGAGGCTGACTCCTGTCTAATATTGGAAGGACAAGGTAAAATCATTGATTCTACAGATTTAATCATAATAAACTACAAAGTTGTTTATCTGGCTCTTCACAGGGGTATTTAGAAATGCAATATAGCTTGGCTGAAATACACCCACAAATTCCCTTTAGAAATTGGACTTATCTCAAAATATAATGAGTGGTATGGGGGACAAGAAAGTGGCATTTGTGGATTTTCACTAGTGCTAAGAAGAAGTTTTGAAAATGGATTTAATTAGACTTGTGGAATTTTTTTTTTTTCATAAAAACTTTTACATTTGCCTCAAAAGAAATGTGGTCTTTCAAAGGCATCCTTTGCATGAACACAGCTTACACAAATGCAGAACCGTGGAAGAAAACCACTGAAAGATCAAGTCCTTAGGACACAACTGCAGTCTCCTTATATCCTTTGAACCTTACGTGGACCGCATAGTGGTATCCCAGTCTTCTCACTGGGAGGGCTGCCATGAGTAATTACTATCCAGCATGAGTATGAACTGTAGAGAGACACTCTAAAGCACGCCTTCACCGCGGGCATGGCCAGACCTGTGCTAGCCCCTGAACGTGAAGCACAGAAGTACAGCACTACCCCAGCTCTGCCATCACCAGCCCTGCTCCGGACGCGGCGGAGGGGTCTGTGGCACGGCACTGCCCAACGTGGGCTGCAGCCTGAGCTGGTCTCCCTTCGGGGCTGCACTGCCCCAACGTACTGTCTCTGCTACAAATATCCATGCTGTGCCCCACTCTGCTGCGTGGACACGTCTAAGCTACAGCTCTACAGCAGTGGCTTCTAGCTTGACACAGGGTCTGTCCCTGCAGCTGGGGAGGTGCTGTGGTCAGAGGGGCCAACACCGAGCGATCGCGCAGCCTGGAGTGGACTCGGGCAGCTGAAGGTGGTTTTTCTACCCGAGTAGAAAACACTCACATCCACATCTCTCCCTTGACAGTGAACAGCCTCAACTCCTCTACAATTCAGGGTCTCCTCAGGCCAATTTAAATAACATAAATTTTGTATAATACCCAAAGCATTTGTTCAGTAGCGCAAGAACTCTTTACATTGAAATCCTACTTTGTTCTCAATGTATTTAACAAAATTCGAACTTTCTTTTTCACAGTTTTTTTTGAAGAATACAGTCTGTGCATATGACATGTACACAGATGCGCATGTTCCAGTATTCACAAAGACATGTGGGTTTCATTTTATTTTTTAATCATAGATATAATTTTCTCCAATGGTTTCATTCTATAATAAAGACCAAACCTTTTTTTTTCATCTCTGTTGCTATACCACAAGCTTCATTACCAATTAATGATGTTGAACGGGTAGCTAAATTGGCATTAAATGGAGACATTAAATAAAGATAATGTTTTTTCATTAATGAGATTACTGAAGTAATATTGTGTATCACTTTTATGCTGAATTGCTAATGAAATGGAATTACTCATTTCTTGTTTACAAAGCTGACTTTTAAAAATATTCCTTAATTTTTTTCTTTGCTCTGTTGCTCAAGGCCTTTTGCCAATGCAAGCATGTAAACTACCTCTGGAAGTACTGTTACCTCATTATTCTAGAGTATTATTTCATAGCACAAATATGTTATATTTATATCATGCATATTATTGTTTCATAGTACCTGGTACAGTCTAACTGTCCACCCACGAAGAATAAAGGGTCATCACCAAAAAATGATAGCAGGAATAGGGTAACGGTAATATTTTCTAAAGCCCTCAATGAACTTCCCTTGAAATGTCAAAGGAGAACCACATGCATGGACCTACATATCCCATCAGAAAGGAACTCAGACACTTTGAAATTGCACACAAAGGATGGATAAACTGATCAGTCAGAAGATAATACCTGTGCTGGAGCTCAGCACAAAAACGATGGCTAGGGAGGCACCTAACCAGGAAATCCCCAGAAAATAAGGAGCGATTTCAGACATTATCCCTGTCTGGGCTGTTCTTTCACTTTCCAACATGAATCTAAAAACCTTTCTCTAAATCCTCTGAAACTCAGTGATAGCTCTATTTTTTTATATTTTTTTTTCCTCATTTTGATGGCCAGGAGAAGATTTTACTGTGGCTCATATTACTCAAGGCCAGTCTGTCACATTTACTAATAACAGCATAATTTACTGAGATCTATATAATTGCAATGGGCCATGCCCTGCGCTCTGCACACAGCATGTATGACTCCAGTGCAGTTGTGACAGAATCTTTTTTTCTGTGCAGTCCTTCAAACATATTACCGTTCTCTCAGAAGCAGTGGATTGATTTTATCAAGCCATATATCAATGATGAAATTACTACGAATCAGTTCGTCTGCTGCTCCCTCACCCGATAGTTACTTTCCAGCAAAAGGTGTTACAGTCTACCGAAAAAAATGTAATTAATATTTCCTGAAAAGCAACATGAACAAAATCGGCCTCTGTTACTGTCTAGAAATGCTCCTTCCATATGGTTGAATACTATCACAAGGAACAGGAGGTGGGGGCTACGCTCACATTCATCTTACCTTTGGATATGGATACTGTTTTCCTTTTGGATAGAGACCTCCAGTAAACCGGGGAATAACCATGTTCGGTACCAGAGAGTCATTTATGGTCAGGAACGCCAGTCTTTCACCGTCTGGAGACCACCAGTGGGCAATGTGAGAGTGAAGAAGTTCTTCTGCAAAACCAGATCTCCTTAGGATCCATAAAAATAACTGTCATATAGTTTCCAGCTCATTCAATTGGCACTGATTTGTTCTTTCTATGCCTACTTAAAATGTGTCTGTTGTAATTTCAGTAATTTCACATCATCCCAAATTGAATGTTTGGATAACAAGGCATATTGAAAGACCAAACTTTAACCATTTTCCTCAAATGAATACTTTCGCTGATGTCAATAAATCATCTAAACGTGAAAGATGATTGTAACTGCCATATGTTTAGTTCTATTGCATTCCATTAGATGTGTTTAATTAATTTTTAAATGATTTGGACCATTTTAATAGACAGGTTTTTTAGGATTGTCAATCCTTTCTTTTTCTTTTAATACAAAATTTTAGTATACCAGATTTCTCTGAGCTGTGGCACCTGGTAACATGCAGATCCTCACACAGTGATATTTATGTAATCATTTTTGGAGTGCAATATTTTGGCTTTCTTGCCTCAGTCTAATGGTCAGCTTTAATTCTTAGAAAGTTCAGTTTTTCTGCAATGTAACTTTTTGAAAATCCAAACAAACCTTTTGATTTTTACGCAAATTTTATTTGATTTCCAAATGAAAGTAATTCTCCAAAATGTCATGCAATGTTTTCTTACATTTATTGTCATTGTATTTCATATTAGAAAGAAACAAAACAGAAACAACCATAGAGGAGCACCCAGACTCCTGGAATCCCGGTAAAGCAGCTCCTGACCAACTCCAAACTCACCCTGTACAGGTCTTCTGTCTTCCACTTGCGAAAAGACTTAGATTTTTTTCATTACATATTTGATATGTTGACTTGTTTGGTGAGCATTTTGTATTTAAATTTGAAGAATTTGGCTGGAAAACTAATTGAGAATAGTATACTAACTAGAACAAAGGTCTGACTGCATACCTAATTTAAGGTACCTACGAAACTACTTAAATTGTTAATGGAGACTCCAAGGTGCTAATCAGATTCTGAAAGTTTTGAAGCAGCTTAATGGGTTGAATTATCTAGGGTTAGGTGCAATGAAGCTGGGACTCATATTCAAAGTCATATATTCTGGGTCATGCTTCTCTCCCTGGCTGGATAACTAAAACCTTTTACACAGGAGAACAGCAGAGAACGAATGGTGACTATCAGATAGCAAAAATCAGAACTGTATTTTGTTTTAAAATTTTACTGTTTGCATTCAAACAAGGTTATTCACACAAAGAAAAGCTATTCCCAAATGCTTGTGTAAGGTAAAATGCTAATAACAAACTCATGCAAATGATGAAAGAAAACAAATGAGGTCAAAAGGAGGAACAGTTCTGAATTCAACTGAAAACCTCTTAACTTCACCTAGGCAATATTCAGCCTGCCCAGCTTTTGATGCTATTAAAAACAGTACTGAAAGTAGAGGGCTGCTCTAACTTCAACAATGGTTAATGGGAAAGAAGCAGTATATTCATCCATGCCAACAGACTGTGGTCCTCCAATGTGTACAGACAGAATTCTCTTTTACCCTGACTTTAATTATGTGGAGAAGAGCCCACTGCCTGCCTGCCTGCCTGCCTGCATCCCTAGGAACCCAAAGAGTTCTCTGTAAGTCAGGAAATGCAACAGATATTTGGGCCAGGGATTAAAAAAAATAGGAAAAGAATGGGCAAAATCACTTAAGGAAGGCTTTAGGACATGCATCAGGAGGAAGGCTTTGGGATGCATATCACCTTCCAGACCGTTTCAGAAACTTTCTAGTCCCAGACTGGACACCTTTTGCTTTTCCTTCTCATGACAAAGGTACGTGTATAGCTGTAGGGACGGAATAAGAACAACAGAGGCGGTAACTGATGTGGAGGTACAAGATATTTGGATGAATACACCTGGTTTCCATTTCAAAAAAGCAGCAGCAGGCTCATGGTGTTTTTGAAAATCAGCCCTGTATTAGACCTATGTATCCATGTGTTCACAGGCAGTAAATCATCCACAGCACATATGAAGAGGTCTGTTTTCTTGTCAGCTAAAGAAGTTCTGTGAAGCTTTAAAGCCTTTCAGCCCCAAATATTAATTAATAAAATGTGTCTGTAGGAAGGATGGGCACACACAATGAAGCAGGAGCATAACCTCAGACTAGCATCATTGCCATTATTGTGCTAGCTGCTCCTGTTCTTTCCAAGTTACCCCATTTTCTTTTTCTGTTCATCATGAAATATTTGCAGCTTAAAGGAACAGTCATTTGTTTTATCAACAGCTTTGTTGATTTTTAAAACAAATGAAGTTATAAAAAATCTACATCAGTGTCTTTCAGATACTGTTTCTGAGATACATATGTAAGCTGAAATATATTTAAAAATTAGCATATTGGCATGTTTCAAATAAAATAAATTAGTTTTGATTCTCTTTAGCTCCTAAATGTACATCTCATGAATGCAGAGATCCAAATCATATAAACCCCCTGACATTTCTTCCATTAAAATATGTCTTAAACTTCTATCTATGTAATTCTTAGATGTGGTCTGCTCCATCCCTTCCAGACAGCTCAAATAAAATGCCTGGCAAATACCAGAACTGATCAGTTGCACTAGGTAACCTTTTGTGGTCCCTTCCAACCTGAATTATCCTATGATAACGTTATTATCCTTTGCAGACTAGGAAGGAATGTTTTTTAAAGAATCTCACATTTTGTCCTGTGGAGTAGAGCTGTAGAATGATCCTTCATTATGTGTCATCCACTGCAGCTCGATGCTGCACCCAGCTGCACCCCAAAGAGAAGAGAAACAGAGGCTGCCCTCTTCTGAACAGGTGTCCTCAAAAGGCTTGCAGAATTGGAGCCAGAGTTGCCCTGTTACATCCATAACTGTGACTCTTACTAACCTCACTTTGTTTCAGCAAAACTTGATATATCAACTTCGATGAGCTACATATGCTTAAATTCTTCAATTTGCATGCAGTCATGTTAGATTTGAAGAATATGAAGTGCATATAGAATGATATTCCATTCCAAAGCTGTCCTTTGTCCTTACATTTTGAAATGTCCTGACACATTAAAACATTTTAAAACATTAATAGAAACCTTGGAAGTGGGTAATTATCAGACACAGGCTAATTATGTGGCTAAGGCATGCAAACTACCACTCTAATTTCAGAGTTTACTTGGGCAGAGATTTTAAAAAATATCTATGTGAGCTATCTGCTCATAACTACTGAAATCCCAGGAGGAATGGATAGACCATTTCTAAGGGCCCCACTGAAGTTCCTTGCTATATGCCATAACACCATTCCTAAAAAACACTCTGCCTGCAAATCTCCACATACGAGAAGTTGTATATTTCAGGTAACTTAAGTATTTAACACTGAGCTATTTATCTATTAAATAAATGAGTCCCATAAAAAAAAAACAAACCTGAAATGTGTACTAATTTTAAGCTCCTGTATCAAGCCGGATAATCTACTCCCATTTTTTAGTTTATTATTGTGTTAAAAGCATTTTGGGTGCAGAGAGAAGCATCCTGTGGTACTACTGAAGAAGACAGCTTCAGAAGCCAGAGGACACCACAAACTGAGCTGTCCTCCACTCCATTTCGGCACTGCCTTCCAGCAACAGCAAGCTTTCCAGGAGTCTAGCCCATGCTGATTTAAGCACCAGTAGCAGCCACTGTTGAGGTAACAGTATGACACGTTTAGATCTTGTCAAACCACTCAAATTGGATTCAAGCATGGAGTCTCTCGTGAGTCACACTAACACAGCGCACCAACCACCACTGAGGCTGAAGGAGAGACACTGATAAAAAGAAAGTGAGGCATGGGGCAGTATCATCTTTGATCACCTTTTGCAATGTATCCAGCAGCAAATAAGAAAACCTAGCCAATTCTGCTTCTACGCTATGATTCTTCTGTGCCGCCTTCCATTAGGATGTTTTAACTGTAAATAGATTGGTACTGTTGTGCACACAAGCAACAAACTGAGTCCCTTCCCTCCTCGCTTGCGTTGTAAACCCAGAATGGATCCAAAGGTATGAACGGAGTTATTCTAGATAAGCAAAACGTACAGCGTGTTCAGTTTTATTTGAATAGCTCTATTTGAAATGCCAGCCCCACTGAAGTTGATGGCAAAACCCCACATCAAGCAGTTTTTACATACTACCTAGTGTTCATAATACATTTGATACATTCTGGTTGAAAATAAAATCCTCTTTCTCAGAAAATATTGTTATATGCAAAACAGCAGTCAATACAAAGTATGAATACACACAAAGGCAATCTTGCAAGAAAATGAGGAGGCAAAGAAGCAAAAACAACCTTAGATAGTATTTTCTGAAATGAATAGATTTGTGCTCTTGGGTCTGTACAAGAACCTCTCATCTGTTTTAATAAACAGATATACTTGTCCGGCTTACCTTCATATAACCAGTCTGCAATTCCATTAAAAATAATTCCTTCTTTTCCCGAAGATGTCAGGCGCAATGAGCTACTCTTTACATCAGGCTGATAGTAGATGTTATTTTCAAAAATATAAATCTGGATGAAGTAAGAGGGATGGAGAGAAAAAAGAACATTTCGGTAGATACAAATCAATGTTCAGCAGTGAATACATAATTTCCTTAGGCTCAGAACAGTCTACAGAATAATTCAGCATGATTTTTCACCAACATTGGCTTCATATTTCCTTTTATTATCAATTTGGACAAACTAAGCAAACTTTTAGTACTTATGCCAAGCCAAATTCTTCCTTTGAAATTGTCTTCCCAGTTGACATGTTTCTAGTCACTTTAAGAAATATTATTACATTCCTCAGAATCATACAGGAGACAAGTTTCATAACAGTTGAACAGATAAAGAAACTTTCCATTAATTCCATTCTATCTAATAAAATAATCTGTTTTTCTGGCTGGGAAGTTAGAAACACTTCTGCAAGTACATGCAGCACAGTACATACATCATAAATGTAAGTTACAGCTTTATATCACAGAGTGAGAACGTACTAGAGAAGCAAAAATAAATAGCAGACTGCCGTTAACTTTTCTCAGCTTGCTGACGCTATTTCTGACTTTGACACACAAACATTTTACCTCAAGTGTGCTATATAAATGCCCTTTATTTTCAAGTCTAGGCTTCTCCTGCTTTTCCTGTAAGTAACAGACTAGACGGACAGCCCTTTCCTCCTTCACTGCCACTTCTCAGCCTTGTCTGCTTTTCTTTCCCTTCTCACTTTGTTGCAAAGGATTTCAAGTTCACTCATTTTGTGAGACTGAGCTCCAGGCTCCATGACAAAGTGCAATAAAAGAAAGATAAAGGAAAAAAAAAAAAAAAAAAGGGAAAAAAAAGAATAATAAAAGAGTTTGGAGGAGTATGGGGATGGAGAAAAGGGCAGGAGACAAATACAGTGATGATGAGGAAGGTTTATGACATGGAAATTCTTATGTACTCGGACGTATGCCACAATGGGCTATGCGTCTGCCTTCCTCCTATCGGCCAGGAGACCTTCTAGCACTTCACTGCAACACAAGTTAGGTATGTGTTGTCCAAACTTCTTCACTGATGCCACCTTTCCCAGTCTGGGTTAATAAGAAACAAACATCAGGGATACCAACAAGCCAAAAGCTACAGACGGGTATAAAAAGCAGAACCACAGCTACTAGCATGTCCTGTTATAATGCTCTTAATCCTTTTGTTGGTACTCCTGCATACCCCATTTTCCTGAGCTGTCGATGCCTGTGACTAGACTCTTATTTCAGCTATAACCATCTCAGAGTCGTAGCCTTTTTCTTTGCTTTATCGTTAAATTACAATGGCCACATATGTGCTTGAACTGCTTAACAACAGAATCAACTTAGTATCAATATTATGCACCCAACCTGATTCACACTAAGAAAATGCAGCTAACAGCACTAGAGAAGCAACACACAATAGACATTTTTGTACCACGATTTAATCAGTGTACACTGATATACGGAATCTCAGGGACTGCTAACATGAAGTAAACATATTTCCACCAAAGACCATTTTAAAAGCCTAGTGGTTTATCATTCTCTCATACTTCTATGATAAACGACTTATGGGAAAATATTAACCAGAGAGCAAAGTATTATTATCACTATTACTGCTGTTCTCTTTGCTTCTAAATTACCATCTGAAATAGATTTCCCTATGAGTCCCCAAACTAATGGCATTTCTTGATTTTTGACAGTAGCCACTTCATGATTTCTGCTGCATAAAGCAATAGAGCTGAGTTTTTTCATACAATGAGAAATGCAATGATTTTAACCATTACTGGGAATCAAGGGTGACTTGGAACAACGTTCTTTATAGTCAGAAATTCAAAACTCGGCAGTGAGTTCAAAACGGAAGTAAAAATAGTTGATCCAGTTTGAATAATCCAAAATGTACCGACCAGTAACTACATTTATAGCTTTATAAATAATATTTGGTACAGTTGAGAATTTATGGGAAGCTGATGCATGACCCAGCATTAACACCAAGAGAAAACAAGGAAAAAGCCTACTTGATCAAATGATTCTATTTTATTTAAACTTCTTTAATTACATGAGCTCAATCTAATTCAGTTTTGAAGATCAGAAGTATTGTTTTTGCTTCTCTCCCCCCTTTTCAGGCCATTTGTATTTTTAATGGTGAAGATACCCATAGTGTCTAGTCTCTGCAATGAAAAACTTTCATTTAAAGCCATCATTGCCAGTCAAAGTACAGGATTAAGAACTACTTGTTTTATGACTGAACCATGAAAAGGTCTTTAATCCTGTTATTGCTGGTTAGCAGGCATTGCTAATTCCATTCGACAAATTTCTGATAAGTAAACATCTCAGAAGGAATACTCACTGTTGGGCCACTGATTGCCGGCTTCCTCAGCTTTATTCCCCATTCATTTCCTAAAGCGGCTTCGTCTCCATCCTCAACCAGTTCTCAGCCACCCTCTGAACATCCCCACAATCCTCTTAGTCTACTTTGTCATCTGAAGTTTCTCTTCTCTCCTCATCACTTGTGGCACATGTTCTTTCAACTTTGAAAGCTAGCCCGAAGAACAATTTTTTTCTTGAACATATGGATTAGAACATTTTATAGTTCTTGAAAAACTTCAAAGCCACCCAGCAGCTCTCTCCCTAGCAAGCCTCGAGCTCATGGCTTACTTGAATTTAACATTAAAAATGATGAATTTATGTTCCTTTGCAAAACATTTATGAAATACAACCGTTCCTGTTCCTCCACATAACTAAACAGCATGTAAATGCAAATCAATGATTTAGGGTTGGCGCACTGGCAAGTATCGCTCTGCACTGCCTGCAGCATTTCAAAAGATCAATATCCTCATGCCTGAGGCTGTAAAAACATCTTAGAAAGATCCACCATTATCGTTAGTCATTTAATCTCATCTATAATTTTGAATACTTGTTATATTTCAGGAGGTGCCATTTTCCACATAAAGCCCCCAAACTGCTGTTTGTACCACCAGGAATGGCGTCGTACACATTTCCTACAATGATGCTGCCTAACCCCTGCAGTCAGGGCTGCATTCCCCTCCATTTCTGACCATGCCAAAGTTCTCATCTGTAATTAACTCCTTCACCTCTTGGAAATAAGGACTTGGAGTTAAAATGTTGATTTCTGCAGCGAAACAGGCAGCAGAGTTGTAATAGGACTGACAAGATTATCATAAAGGCTACTAGTTGTGGCCTGAGAGGCTCTTTGCTTTGCTCCCTGTAAATCCAAGCTGTGGATTCAATTAAGCACAAGTGCTTTGTGTAGAGACAAAAAACAATCTCCCATCCTACATTACTGCCAGAGCAATGCAGCCAAGACAGACATTTCTAAAAGGCATACTCATTGTGAATTCTTCTTCCCAGTATAATATTTATGTGGTACAAATGTACCTCATATGTAACTTCAAAACCACTGAAATTGTAATAGATAACCACTTGAAATTAATTTTGCTCACAAGTCTGAACAGATCTTGCTTGCTTTTTCCTAGCATTTGTACACCCAACACTGACCAGCGGCTTTGTGTCTCTCTGAAATAGCTGCGACTAGACGCATGTGCACAACTATGGTTTTACCAGAGAGCAGTGAAGCGGGCTTTTTCTCCTGAGTTAGTCCTTGGCTCCCGTTGGCCTGTTGTGGCCATGACACCACTCCATGCTCCTCTTGCTGCCTGAGGTGGTGTCAGCTGTGAAGTGACTTCAGGAGGAAAACGGACACTGGCTTTATTTTATATGGATTATCATGAGCACACCAACTAAGAGTAGAAATGGAAATATTGCTCAGCTGAAACATGCAAAAAATCCTACATCAGGCCCCAGAAGCAGAGGAAGTCTTTAAATATCATGGTCAAACTCTCCCCTCCCCACAAATCATCTAAGTTCTTTTTCTTTGGTTCATACATTTTTTAGCTTTCTTGCTCAATTTAAACATTGCCACCAATGCTTTCTGGTGAAAACAGTATCTGTAGAAAACTCCTTGCAGTTCTACTTTATGCTGCATTAAAATATATTTCCAAGCTTTTATTTCAAAACACAAAGTCTAGATGGAAATTTTTATTTTTTAGGTGGCGGCTGCTGCTTAGTCGCATTACAGCAGTACAGAGAAGCTGAATTTATGAGCCAGAGTTTGGTTTTTAAATTCAGTGAAAGAGAGAGCAAGTGGCTGGGAGAAAACTCAGACTACCACTTTTCCTACAACAGAGTCTTAAACTCTCAAATACTGGAAGGCAGGCAGCAAATCATGACACTGGGATACGAATTACCAATCAGAACAAAAACATAGTCTTAGAGCAGAATCTTGCAAATACATGTGCCTAAAATCCTGACTCCAGTAGGTAAAATTAAACGTTCCCAAAGGTTTCCAGGGTGGGGACTTCCACATACTTCATCACTTTGTATATTGTGTTTTGGGCAATGTCACATAAACCAAAAATTTCTCTTGCCAGTCTATCTCCAGTCAGGTATTTGGGAGGAAGTAAAAGTAAAAAGGCTTTTCTTAGTATACACTTGGATCTAATTACTACATCACAAGTACTAAAATGTTGACTGTAACTACTGAATCTTCCAAAACTGCTAAAAGAGGAGTTGCTAACTGCATATCAGACAGGTATTCTCATGAATACATCAGTGGCTTTGTGCCCAAAATGCTTTCACAGCTTTCAGGCATGACGATAAGAAAATAAATTGAAAAAGGCACAAAGTGGAACAAGGCTATGCTACCTTATATGAAAACTATTTTTTTAACCTCTTCTTTTCACCACCTATTGCCCAAGTATTTTTAAAGCATTTAAAATTATTTTTTAGCCAAGACCCTTAGCTAATAATGCTGTAAATGGGGATAAATATCAAAATCTATGACCTTCAAAATTATTTGACTTTTTGTTTTCTTAGAGATTTTGCACAGTTAATCACATCAAGCCTTAAACCAAATGAAGAAAAAAACAGAGCATTTCTTTAATTATTTTATTAAGTATTTTCCAACTAATGAAAAACACATGCAAGAATGTTTTGGATTAGTGAGAGATTAAT